GTTCCAATCACAGTAATTTAACTCTCAGCTGGGTCAGGGAGCGCAATATAAAGGTTGGTCACCTGGCATTTCGAGTTCCCCCCCTCCCCCCAATGCACAGCCTTAAGCACATGGGGAAAACCTGAAACCCATAAGCTGGGTTAGGGTTCCCTGGATGACAGGCTGCACTCCCTGACGGTTTTCACCAACAGTACATTATGACCCACTGCATTCTTTTCACTAAAAACAAGTGGGTTTTAAAGGTGTGGATGGAGTGAAAGCGAAACCGGTTTTGTAATTGCCACACTTGTGGTGGGAGGAATATGAGAAAAAGGTTCTTTTATTTGTTAAAAAAATTTTTTTTAAAGTTTCTGCGAATCCTCAACCATGAGGAACGGTCTCTCTAAAGAATAAGAGCAATATTTTATGCTAATTCAGCAGCTTTTTAAGGCTGCTCGATGTCTCCCTGATAAGGGATCTTTAGACTTAGTTATTCAGGAAAAACTTGGGTAGAAGTTGAAACAGAACCAGGTGGTGTGAGATAAAGGCTAGTGTCTCACTCCCTCCTTTAGAGGATTTAATTTTAAAATACTGGTTTGCTTGAATTTTCTTTTTGTTTCTGTTTTTAAAAGTAACGTCTCAGTCTCAAAATGTTTTGGTAAATAGAATGAGATCTCTAATGTTGTTACATCATGATTCTACTCAGAAAGAATTTAGATTGATTATTTAAAAAAAGAAAAAGATCTCACTTCCCTCAGACAGCGAAAAGTGCAGGAAGAAAAAGAATGAAAAAAAGTGTCTTTTAACCATTCTGAGTACTCTTTCTGAAGGCCCAGGGCCTGCTTCAGTCCTGGGAACAAGCTATGCTGAGCTTAGCATCCTCCCTTCCTCTTCTCCAGCCTCCCTGAAGTTGTCAAGGGCACTGGATAATGAGACAGCTCACTTTTAAGCACATTCCAGGTATGCAGTAATCACCAAGAATTTTTTAAAAAGTGAATGTATTTGCCAGTAGAAGAAAAACTGTTTCTAAAAGTTATGAATGTGTTCATAAATTTGTCACTCTAAAGCATGCTATAAGTGGGAGGGGAGGTGTGACGTGTTAAAGAAATATTAAGAATCCTCCTTGTTTATGCCAGAGCCATGACCTTTTATTGTAAAAATAAAATATAAGCGTACTGTCTCCCGGGGAGAACTAGCCCTTCTCCATGGAAGACTAAGTATTGTTTAACTCAGTACCTGTAAACACTGATCATTTCCTTGGGGAAGAACTGGCTATTCTCCCGGACGGAACAGTTAGTCAAGTTACGAAAGGTCCTTGGTGCACAACCACTTTTGTCTAAAACATATTTGAGCAGAATCCCTCCCTCATCCTCCCCATTTTCCTTGCAAACACTAAACCTAGAAGCTAACAAATCCTAAGAACAACAGGGCAGTTGACATGCTGCTCAAACTCATTGCAGCTTGCACAAACAGCAGAGGACATGTCTTTCCAACAAGAGCAAAAAAAAAAAATGGCACTTTTAAAACAGGCTATTTTTCAGCAGCCACTTGGAACCAAACCTCGTTCACACTGCCCCCTACCTGTTATAAACCGGAAAGCCAAGGGTTAAGGGCTTAAAACAGCCCTTCCATAGGGCAAAAATCAGACCCCCGAAGCTAAACAGAAAAAGTAATAGAAAAAGTTAAAAGACTGTTTCTTTATCATTCCCAAGCTAAGCAAATTATTAAAGAATGCCCTGACTGTCAAGCCCTTACTAAGGCACCCCCATCCATGGGAGTTAACCTTCGAGGACGAAGTTCTCAAATGATTTGGTGAACAGATGTCACCCATTACACTCCCTTCGGAAAATTCAAATACATTCACATTTCTATTGATAGTTACTCTGGTGCCCTACATGCATCTGCTTTACCAGGGGAATCTGATGAAAATGTATAAGCCCATTGGCTTGAAGCCTTCAGTCATTAAGGACAGCCTCAGCAAATTAAAACTGATAATGGCTCAGGATATCTTGCCCATTCCACAGAAGCTTTCCTTCAGTGTCGGAATATCCAACATAAAACAGGAGCATCTTATAATTCAACTAGCCAGGCAATTGTCGAATGGGCACATCATACCTTTAAAAATCTTCTTAAAAAAGCGGGGAGAGGGAGTCAAGAGTCTACTCAAAAAATTTGATTATGTTAACTATGTTCACCTATAATTTTCTAAATTGTGACGAATCAATCTGTACTCCAACTGAGAGACATTTTCAGAAGAAAGAGCACAAGTCATCTTATGCTCAGGTTTTATATAAAGATCCGCTGGGAGATGGTTCCTGGCAAGGCCCTGTAGATCTCTTAACATGGGGAGGAGGGTATGTATGTTTCCATCCCTACAGGTCCTGTCTGGCTTCCAGCTAAAAGGGTGAAGCCTTCTCATGAACAAAACAGACATCAGGTTCTGCTAGCTGGAAATGAAAACTGATCAGCTAACAGACCAGACAGCCCATTAGAAGAAAACAAGCACTGGATTCTGGTGCCAAAAATACGGTTTATGTTGCTAAATATGTACTAGTTTATTTTTCTCTTCTTATTGACGCTGTATTTTTCTTTAAAGGAGCAACTTTATGCTGCAAGCAAAGATCAATACAGTAATTACTATCAGCTTTCCATAGTAACTACAATTGGCCTGTGTACCCAGGGGGTTTCTCATACTCTCAACCCCCCTCCAGTTCGTCCTTATACTTTAGACAGTAGCCGTGAAGACTTACTCTCTTGGTCTTTGCGCAGGGGACCAAATACCACGTTGCTTTTCTCCCCCAAAGTCCTTCTGTAGTGGAGAACTGGGGAGCTAATTGGAAGGTACTGGCTAAGCTTGGCACAACAATAGTTTCAGCTCTGCCTCAATTCCCATATACTAATGTGTGGTGGGAGAGGCCTGGTATTGGGGCACCTATTATCATTGCTTCTTCCAACCACACTAGCCCTTGGCAGTACAATTCTTGGAAAATGGGCTTGCCTTTTACTGCTAGAAAATGCCTGTATAAAAAATTTTTAAATGTCTCTCTACCAAGATGGCCCTCCAAAACAGGATTGGATCACAGTTTGTACCTCTCACCCCTACTTGTTTTTAGCAACTCCAGGAACAGCTCAAGTCTTTATAATAAATCAGCAAAAATTTATTCTCTTCCTGCAGGCTCTACATGTCAGCTGTCTTACTCATCTCAATATTACTCAGTTAAGCCTCATTATGGTTTTTATAAGTTAGAAGACAAACTCAAGTATGGGTGCCAGTTAATATAACCAAAGAATGGGAAGATCCCAATGGCATAGTAGCGCTTGACAACGTGCTGGCCTCCTTAAGAGTCTAATGGTTTGTCGGCACCTTAATTGCATTTATTGTCTCTGCTATAGTTGTCGCAGCTACTGCTACCACGGCAACCGCTGCCCTCACTGAATCAGTTCCAACTGCTCATACTGTTGATATTCTCTTAACCAATACTTTAGAAATACTTCAACTGGCCCAGATTGATCAAGAAATCCTGACTCACCTTTCTGCAATTGAATCAGCCCTCAACTGGATCAGCAAATGCCAGGATGTGCTAGTAACCCATCAGCAGCTGACCTGTGATCCTGGTTTCTCCAAACTGTGGAGTGGAGTGACCACTCCAATAAAACTCCAGCCAATACTCCTGGAATGATATTCAACATCACCTAAGAAGAGCCTTTTCTACCACTTTAAAGGAACAAATTAATAAATTACAACTGGGGTTACGCCATTGGTTGCAGGACATTCAACACTTAACTAAGTATATTTTTCAAACACTTAGTAATAATTTTGACTGGCTAAACCCCCAAAATTGGTTTAATAGACTCAACCTAAGACTGTGGTTCATTGGAGCCACTGGTTATTTACTGATTCTAATAACGCTTTATATATTTTGATGCATTTACAAATTATTTGCCAAGGTCACAAAAGAGACCAGCAAGTAGCAAGTCTTGTAGCATGCATCACCACAACAGCCTTAACAAAAAGGAAAAAAAGGGGGGGAATTGTAGGGGACCGGTTTGTTTTGGTCTGGCAAATGTGACTCAGCTCTGTATGAAAAACCTACAGAAGTGAGGTGGTGGGCAGGAGGCAGATCTTCTGTTTTTGCGTGGGAATCAGGCCTAGAAAATGCATACAGATCGTTATGGCTTGCTGTCGTTAAAACTCCCTCACCCTGGTCTGAAAGAGTAGACGTATACTGTCTATCTTCAAGGTAATTTCCAAAGCCTGTGTACATTTTCCCAAAGACAGAGCTAATCGGCTCGCTGCTTTTCCCTTCTGCATGTTATTTTCATTTCCTTGATTGTACCTAAAATGTAGACAGTAATATTCTATGTAATAAATAATAAATCCTTCTTTGATGTAAGACCCAAGAAAAACAGTAAAAGCCTGTCTAGGCCAGGGTCGGGGCGCTCTCCCCTTGAGAGGCTGTGCCGTCCCCCTTTTCCCCACAGGACTGCTGTGGCCTGTGCATTTGTTCTCGTCTTCAGTCACACGGGTGGACTCTGCTGGCTGGGGTCCGCCACATTTAAGCAATTAAATCTTTCAGACTTTTTCTCCTTACATCAAAGGTACTAAATAAATTACATTTAAATGTCCTACTTATTTTTAGGGGGAGGGAGTCTGTTTCTATTACTACATGGTATCCATACAGTTGTAGGAAGTTACAAAAGAAATTTAAGTGAATTTTTTTCCTTAAAAAATCTTATCAGAGGCAGAAATGATATGCCATAGATGAGAATACTGGCTATCTTCAAACGTATCCATTATAAACACCAATTTTTTGTTTTCTTTTGTTTTTAAATCCTCACCCAAGGACATGCTTATTGAGGGAGGAAAACATGGGTATGAGAAATATCAATTAGTTGCCGCCCGTGTGTCCCAACCAGAATTCAAACCCACAGCCTAGGTATGTGCCAGGTGGAAACCGAACCCACTACCCTTTGGTTCACAGGACAAACCCCCACCAACTGAGCCACTCAGGCCAGGGCTATAATTTGTCTAAAAATACTTTATTTATTAATTATTAGGAAGAGGGGAAGGGAAGGAGAAAGAGGAGAGAAACATCAGTGTGTGGTTGCTTCTCACACACCCCCTTCTCATGTGCCCTGACTGGGAATCAAACCAGCAACCCTTTGGTTCACAGGCTGGTGCTCAATCCACTGAGCCACACCAGCCAGGGCTATAATTTTAATTTTATAAGCAGGGTAACTAGGAGAAATAAGTTAGTACAATCATTTGAATTGGTTGTCTACATACTGGGCATGGCTTATTTCTTTTTTTCAGCTTCTTTGCACATGTAAAGCATGCCATAAGATGTCCTGTTTTGCCGTGGACAATGCAGCCATTTTTAGGTCGGCCTTGGCAAATCACACAGGGTTCAATGGCGTTACTGGGCAAATTATTTTCTATAATTTCTTCTTTGTCTTGTGTGTCTTCTTTCTCAAACTCTTTAGTATCTTCTTGGCTGCTATAAATGATGCTACTAGAAGTTGATGGCTGAGAAAAGTCCTCACTTTCTTGAAACTGGGAGTTTTGTGTAATCTTTTCATCATTTTCTTCAACACATGATTCTTGGGAATCATTCACTGTATTTTTTTTGCAGTCAGGGACATCAAAGCCCTCTTCTACTTGTGTTGAGTTTTCTAGGTCAGTTTTCTCAAGCACGTTTCCTTGTTCCTTCCCTTTGTCTTCAGGAAGCCAGTTCTCACGAAGGGCCCAGCATCTGTTGCAGTGTGATGGAAGGGGAGGGTTTGTTTCACTGCATGAAGTACACTTCCAATAGTCCTTCAGCGAAATAAGACAGAGTTAGTTTCTGTAACCCTGTAATAACTAAATCATATTAACACTTAACACTTTTAATATGCCTAAGGTAAAATGTATCACACAGCTCAATTTTCAGCATTTCATGTTTTATACAAAGCAGTCAACGTATAAGGTCTTTCCTCAAGTAGGAGATTTAAAGTATTTTTTCCAGCTAAATGCTTAACCATGAACCTATAAAGTGCAATAAGTTGAAGCGAGTTGATCAAGCTACGGGGTTGATCTTCTACTCTGTGATGAGAACTGTACCCACTCCATTTCTTTAAAGGCTCAGCCTGCCACGGACTGCGAGTATCCCCTAACTCACTCACAAAAGCAATGCTAAAACATTCTTCAACAATCACTGCCAGCTAAAATCTATCGTCCTTGTCACTATCCACAATGTATACCCATTGTGTGTCTATCCTTTCTTTGCAAGATCTATGTCTGAAACATCTCACTCAACTGGACGTCAAATGAGTCTAGTTACTTGAATTATTTTCTAATAGAGCAAAAAATTCTTTAAAAAATGTACAATTTTGCTTTCAGTCAAGATGGCACCATAGTTGTAAACATGGTACTTGCCTCCTCCAACAACCACATCAAAATTACAACTGAACTCCAGAACCATCATTTAAAACCATCTAAAATCTGGCTGAATAGAAGTCCTACAACTAGAGAATTAAAGAAGCCACATCGAGACTGGTAGGAGGGGTAGAGACAGTAACAAGCTAGACCCACACCCACACATGGCAGATAAAAATCAGGAGCAAGGGGTCCCGGCTCTACACAGGGCCCCCAGACCAAGGTTCCAGTGCCAGAAAGAGAAGTTTCCATAACTTCTGGCTGTAAAAACCAGCATGGATTAAGGCTAAGGGAAAGCGAGGGCTTTTGGCATCCCAGGCAGTTTCTCTTATTAAAGGGCCTGCACAGAGACTTACTCAAACTCACTCCCTCTGAGTTCCAGGCTGGGGCAACAGCCTGAAAGGCACCAGAAACATGGAGGGAAAAACTGAATTGCCCAGCATCAGGGCAAGAGCTGGGGGGCAGCTGTCTCCCAGACAGAAGTGCTAGCAGAGGCCACTGTTTTTTTGATTAGCCCTCCCCTGACCTAATCCAGAGGCAGACAGCATACCCAAGTCTCCGTCAACCTGGCTCACACTGTTTACCCCATCCTAGTGATTCCAAGTCCTAGTGATGCCCTATCCAACTTTTGGATCCACCCAAGCTGTTTCCAGTGGCTTTTCCATGCTAATGGTTTGTCTTGGCTCATGCTTCAGATTTTCCTAAAATTTCTCAAACAAGCAACAACTGGCCTCAGTGAACTCCCAAGCCCCTACCTCTTGCTAAGTGGCCCCAGGCCTGGCACTAGTAGCAACAAGTCTTGATTTCCAGCTTGGCTTTGCCTGGGCACCTCCAAACCCAGCACAATTAATTACCAGCTATTTGCAGACCACTTTGTAGCTCATGCCTGGTGACCCCAAGCAGCATACAGGCAGTGGCTGACTTTGGACTGACCCTCCTGGGAGGCCCCACAGCCACTGCAACCAGTGGACAACTGCAGACCATGTTGAAGCATCACCACCCAACTACAAGCAACGCACTCAAGGGGTGGACTCAGCAGGCAACACAGCCCTGGCGAAGTAAATCCTGCTTTGTGGGGTGAGTCCCTACATAGCTGATCCATCATGGTGGTTGAAGGTAGGTGGTCACAGCCAGCTTTTAAGCTGATACAACTGGACATAAATCCCTCCCATAGACATGCCAACAGCAATCAAGGCTCAACTACAAGAGGAGGGTGTACACAGCCCATATGAAGGTGCACCTGGGAGGCTGTGCCACTGCAGGACCCTACAGGACACCTACAACACCAGGCCACTTTACCAAGCTCGGAAGATGTAAAGCTGTACCTAATGCACAGGGAGGCTGCCAAAATGAGGAGACAAAGAAACATGACCCAAGTGAAAGAACAGAACAAAACTCCAGAAAAGAACTCAACGAAATGGAGACAAGCAATATATTAAATGCAGAGTTCAAAATACTGGCTATGCTCAGTGAACTTAGTGGGAACTTCAATAGCATAAAAAAGGACCAGTCAGAAACAAAGGAAATAAAGAGCTTCTCAGACAAAAACAATGCTAGAGGGGTTCATCACGACCAAACCAATATTGTATAAAATGTTAAAGGGTCTTTGTTAAGATGAAGAAAATATAAGGATAGAATATGAACAGCCCTGGCTGGGTAGCTCAGTTGGTTGGAGCATCGTCCCAGTGCACCAGGGATGCAGGTTTAACCCCTGGTCGGGGCACCTGCCGGAGCCGACCAGTGAACGCATCGACGGGTGAAACGACAGGTCCACATCTGTCTGCTTCTGTCTCTCTTCCTCCCTTCTCACCCCCTCTCTCTAAAATCAATATATAAAAGTAAAATAGAAACAAATACGTATCTATCAACAACTGATTATAAAAAGCAAAATAAATCTATATAGACAGATATCTATATTTATATATATCTATACATACATATATATATATATATGAAACTTTGATGGCTGTCAGATGAGAAGGGGTTTGGGGGATGGGTGAAAAAGGTGAAGGGATTAAGAAGTACAAACTGGTTGTTGCAGAACAGTCACAGGGATGTAATCTACATGCAGGGAATATAACATTCTAATAACTATGCATGTTGTCAGATGGGTTGAGATTTATCAGGATGGTCACTTAGTAAGTCACGTAATGTCTAATTACTGGGGCATATACCCGAAACAAATATAATAATCTATGTCAACTGTAAGTGAAAAATAAAAATGACTTTAAATTTTTAATTTTATAATTTCACTTTTGCATCTGGGTAATTATTTCCAACTTAGAAAGAAAAATGAGATTCCCTATTCAAATATAAAAGGCAAAATTAACAAAAATTAAAGCACATATTCAGTTAATAAAACTTCCAGGCCTTGGCTGGTATGGCTCAGTAAACTGAGTGCTGGCCTGTAAACCAAAGAGCTGCTAGTTCATTCTCAGTCAGGACACATGCCTGGGTTGTGGGCCGGGTCTCTTCTTGAGGGCATGTGAGAGGCAACCACACATCGATGTTTCTCTCCCTCTTTCTTTCCCCCCTCCTCTCTCTCTGAAAAAATAAATAAATAAAATCTTAAAAATAAAAAACAAAAACAACTTCCAATACCCCAGTGAGGCAATACAATGTTTAAGTCCTGATTTCTTTAATGGTATATCCTACCACATTCTAATACGAATAATATGAACGTGTTTCTATTCAACAAGATTAGCCAAAATGGCCCTAGCTGGTGTGGCTCGGTTGATTGAGCATCGTCCCAAACTGGAAGGTCATGGGTTCGATTTCCAGTCAGGACACATGCCTGGGTTGCAGGTTCAATCCCTAGTCGAGGCATGTATGGAAGGCACCAATCGATGCTTCCCTCTCACATCAATGTTTCTCCCTCCTTTCCCCTCTGACAAAAAAAGACTGGCAAAATGTCGGTAACTATTAGAGGTTAGTGATAAGTACACTGGTAATATTTGGTATGCTACACATACTAGAAATTTTCCATAAAAGTGTTCTTTCAAAGTTCAAATTCCAGCTCAAAAAACTAAAAAATGTAGCAATAGATCCCAACACAACAAAGAACAAGAATGCTTTAAATCAGGGGTCCCCCACCTCTAAGCCGTGCACCAGTACTGGTCCAGGCCTGTTAAGAACTGGGTCACACAGCAGGTGAGTCTGAATCATCCTGAAACCATCCCCCACCCCAGTCGGGGGAAAAACTGTCTTCTAAGAAACTAGTCCCTGGTACCCAAAAGATTAGGGACTGGTGCTTTAAATCTTATTAAAAGTTTAAAGATTTTAAACATTACAAAAATTATCTCATATCAGGGAATAGACTAGACATATTCTAATCTTGACTTCAATGTCATTTTTAACACCTTAAAAATACATGTATACTACTTACGGCTAAGGAAATTTCAGGATCGTCTTCAAATGAATCTGTATCACTCTGCTGTGCTTCAAACACAGTAACTTGATATACCTAACAAAATAATAAACCCATTATTTTTTTCAGCCAGGAAAACTTCTTAGTGGCAGGCGCTAAATAAATAGCATTTGCAACTATATATAAGAAATTCTGAGACAAAGGTCAAATGGAATGAGTGAGTGTAAAGAGGGAGAAATGGAGATCAGTGAAATCCTGAGCCACTATGATAAAAAGTCAGACAGGATGTTTAAAATGAATAAATCAAGAAATTCACTCTAAGCATCTTATTTCATAAATATGGAGGTATTAAATAACAATGAATCAGTCAGAAATGCAAGCAACAAACCTAGAATACTACATGACTTCATGTAACTACATGCACACTTCACTTCTGTAAAAACTCAATTAATATTAACAGAGGCCAACTGAATTAAATACTTTTTTAAAACCAGCAGACTATTATAGCAATGCTCATTACGACCTACTTACTTCTTGGTATATTGATAAAAAATATAAATAAGACAAGGAACTATAAAGCCTCAAGTTCACATCACAATATTCTAGTCTGAACACATCAAGTTCAAGTATTTCAAGTGAAATCTGAATACATCATTTCAAGTTCATCAATCAATGAATATGAAAATACTGTAAAACTTTTAGAATTAGAGAAAAAAAACTACCTCATCATCTTCATCTGAGAGTTCTTGTCCTTCTTCACTAAGGTTATAATCTTCTGAGTTTAAAGACTCAACTTCAAATTCTACACTGAATCGATCTGAAACTGAATCTTGATCCAACCAATCACCTGATTGTTCACTGACGCCAGCATCAAGATCCTAAAATCCGGGGGGAAAAGAGATACTGCACATTATTCATTGGCCTCTGTAACAGCTTCCTAAATTACATCCTATGTCTCTAATTCTGCCTCAGTTCTATCTTGCAAACTGACACCTAGATTAAGATTCTGGATCACTACTATTCAATACATTCTTTAACCTGTCCAAAACCCCATTACATTAAGGAAAAAGGCCAAATTTACTTGGTGTTCAAGGCACAATACAGTTTGACTATATTAACATTTTCAGCTCATCTCCCAACAAAACACTCCCTCCCCCTCAAAAATATTAACTATGGGTCAGATCTACATTGTTTCCTGAGCCAAACTTGGCACTTCAACTTCCACTTTCCCTCTCTAACTGCAACAACGAGTTTCCAGTCCTGCTCACCCTTTTTTGCCAAAGCTTCTGTCAAATCATAACTAAAAGAGCTCCCTGAGTCTTCATTATCTTTACTGCTTATATATTATTCATTGTATTTCCCCACATAAAATATGAAGAACATAATTATGCACACTTGCGTCTTATCTGAATCATACACACTTAAGACCATGTCTTAATCACCTTTGTATCTTCAGACTGGTAGAATGCTAGTAGCTACTACAAAGCAGTAATTACGAGATTTACATTTCATAATAAACTTTGAGAATTTCTTTGGAAGACCTTCCAGAAAGAATTTTTTGAAAGCTATTTCAAAAAATTTTCAAAAAAATTTCTGTGTCTGCTCCTGCGAATCCTCACTTTAGGTCTCTATTTAATCGTGTAAGAACCTCCTTTCTGCTGTAGACCTGAGTGGCTGCTGCAGAAATGGGCGAGTTTATGAAACTCAGGACAGTGGTGCTGGTCCTGGCCGGACGCTACTGCAGACGCAAAGTGGCCAAGCTGAAGACCACTGCTGACGGCACCCAGACCACCCCTGCAGCCGTGCTCTGGTGGCCGGCATTGACCGCTAACCCCACAATGTGACAGCTAGCTGCCACAGGCAAGAAAACTGCCAAGAAGTCAAAGACGTGGGGTTTTTTTCCCCTTGGACAAAACTATCATCGACAAGGTTGTACAAGGCCTGAGGGGAGGCCGAGGTCAAGTCTGAAGAGAGGTACAAGCCCAGCAAGAACAAATGGGTTTGTTTCAGTCATTACGAACTTTTTTTTAAAAGAAAAGTGTAAGAGCCTAATAAAATCTTCAGAATTAGTATCTGCTATCAGTGGGTAAGGGTAGGAGCATATGGAAAGCAGAAGGCTACAACTAGAAAAAGCCCATTAAGTCTATGAATCAGGATACATACACTCTTATTCTAAACTTCCATGAAGTGGTGATTAAAACTGGGACATATTTAACCTGTAAAGGCCACAGCCACTTCATCTATGAAAGGCGTCTGAATTAAATGATCTCTAATAAATTTCCATTATTTTTAAAAACATATGATTTTATAACCACTATCGTCAAAATACTGTTTCATTTTGTTTTTTACAGTGAGGTTAAGAAAGCGGTGGTAAAAGCAGCATTCATCAAGCTGTAGTTCTAATTCCTAAGGAGGGCTTCATTAACAATCGGGTTAAATTCAGAAGTCAAGCTACAACACTTTAAATAAAGTAACCTGACAAACCGGATATTTCAATTAACGAGTCTTTAGTACACTGAGTTTGGAATAAGGGGGTAAATGACAAGAAAAATTAAATCTCAGAAAGCATCCTGTGTGACAGGGGTCAGCAAACTAGCCCCCCACCCACTTAGTTTTATAAAGCTTTACTGATCACAGCAATCAATGCCTTTGTGTTTACTTGTCACCTATGGCTGCCTCTGCCTTAAAGCTACAGAGCTAAGTAGTTGGAACAGAGACCATAGGGCCTGCAAAGCCCAAATAATTAGAATCTGGCTCTTCCTAGAAAAAGTTTGCCTACCCCGGTTCTAGAGTATATAAAGAAAGCAGTATTAAAGGATTTTTAAAGTTCTGGCTAATGTTCAAAAAAGAATGACCCAGAAACATTAAATACTATATATTTATAAAAAGCATCATATAAGCTTATCTGGAAAGATCTTAAATTTCGAAGTCAGAAATCCCTGGTTTTATCTGAATTCCAATTGTGACAGTTATTAAATATGAGATCCTAAGTTATTTGAAACCCTCAAGTATTAGTTTTCCCATTTACACATGAAGTTTGAGGGTTCCCAGATGATAAAATAAGCTATCACGCAAACTGCCTGGTACAGACCTAGAATCTGCCTTGGTTCTAGGACTGCCTTGGTTGCACAAATTTATTAAACTGAAAAAATGAAAGGGAAATGCACTTTCCTTTAACTCCATTTACAACCTGGTGAATGACAACACCAAATGATAACTATAACATTCTTATATGAAGCAAAATAAAAAAAAATTTTGCCCTCCCAAAACTTTCACAACTAGGGCTTTAGTGGTATAGCCGTGCCTCGTGGCCACTGTTCTGGATCGGAGTGATCCAATCCCAGAAGATGGAAGGTATGGAACCAATTGTGATACTAACCCTGTTCTTTTTACATATTCTTGTTGCTTGTGTTACTTTCGTTTTTCTCTTCCAAAGCAGTGATTTTATGCCTACAGATATGAACTCTACAGTTAGTATTTAACAGAGCTGTTACTTATGCCGGCCACTAGATGGCAGGAGGAGAGCAAGTTTAGGCCTTAAACTAAAAAACAAGACTTCTAATAGGGATTTTTAGGATAGGAGTGCGTGTGTGGGGGTGGTGGGGATCAGAGTTCCCTCTACTTGGCTTTGATAACAAGGCTGTGGTTCCAGGAAGAAAGCAAGCACAAGAACTTTAACTATAATTTGGCTGGTATTCTGAGAGGGAAAAAAAGTTAAATTTTTTTAACGGGAGATTGTAAGGAATAAAATGATACAAACATGAAGTTTGTATATACATTGTTTTATTTTATTGGATTCAGTTTTCAGATCACACATATTTGCTTTCAAGAACCTGTATTTTATTCATAGCATTTACTAAATGTTTTGTTTATTAAACTGTTACTGTTGTATCAACATGAGGGCAGAGACCGTTATCTACCTTAACTACTACTATATCCCAGTACCAAATAGGACCTGGCACAGAAAAGACATTTAAGTCCTGGCTGGTGTAGCTCAGTATATTGAGTGCTGGCCTGCGAACCAAAAGGTTGCTCGTCGGACTCCCAGGCAGGGCACACACCAGGGCTGCAGGCCAGGTCCCCAGTTGGAGGCATATGAGAGGCAACGGATCAATGTGTCTCCCTCTCCTTCCCTCTCCTTTCCCCTCTCTCTGAAAATTAAATAAAATCTTTTAAAAATAGATCACTTAAGTAAGCAAGTTAAAGGAAACAGTAAAAGAGAAAAAATAATTTTAAAAAAAAAAGACACATAAATAGCTACTGAATAAATTTGCTGTCCTCCTGCCATCTAGTGGCCGGCATAAGTAACAGCTGTATTAAATACAGGTAACTGTAGAGTCTGTATCTGTAGGCATAAAATCACTGCTTTGGAAGAGAAAAACGAAAATAACACGAGCAACAAGAATATGTAAAAAGAATAGGGTTAGTATCACAATTGGTTCAATCCCTTCCATCTTCTGGAGAAATGAAAAAGGATCACTCAGATCCAGAACAATGGCCGTGAGGCATTGCCATACCACTAATAAATGTTCTAATTTTAGTAATATCTCAAAGACCAATACTTAATGACAAGAAAAATATTACATTTGTCAAGTACTCTTGTTAGCAAAAAACTTCTTTACAAAACTTCTCTCAGTAGCATCTCTTAAAAATTTTATTCCTGGTTAATACCTTGGAATTTTTATCCATCAAAAGTACTGATATTTGTCACCCATGAAATAATACACCATATTTCATAGCATCAGTAAACAGGCTTCCTGATGTCAACACCTACACATGGCAGATACAAAGCTCAGACTCTGCCAACCTATTAGCTGACGACTGTAGTAAAAAATTTTTATTCTAAATATTCAAGACAAATTTGCCTTAAAATCCTAAAATATCTAACTAAATTTTCATTTTTGTCCCCTTATTTAAAAAAACTTCTAAACTCAGACTATACTCCAATTTATTTGAATTTACTATTAGTGCAGTGGCCCACAAAATTCTCCAGTATGTAGGGTGACATTAATAACTATTAATGTTGGCCCCAGCTTGTGTGGCTCACTAATTGCGCAGCAGACTGCAAACAAAAAGATCACTGGTTTGATTCCCAGTGAGGGTTTGTGCCTGGGTTTCAGGCCAGGTCTCCAGTAGGGGGTGCTCAAGTGGCAACCACACACTGATGTTTCTCTCCCTGTCTTTCTCCTTCCCTGTCTCTAAAAAAAAATAAATAAATAATCTTAAAAAATAACTATTAATATTGGTACTAATTTTTCAACACACCCCAATGCAACTCCACTGTCTTACACTATCCTCCCCAAACCTAGGGTTAGGGTGGGGAACATCTACATAGGTTTATTTGAAAAAAAAATTTACTGGGAGCATCTGAGATCTTGCTCCCTGACACATGTCACCAGTTTGGCATAAATAAACTCAAAAAAATTCAAGAAGAAACTGTAAGAAAAAATCATTTTATCACTGTCTATAGCAGCAATCAAATATCATACATGAGCATTCTATACTTATTAGAACTGCCAAACTTAGATTTTAAAAATAAGTCTTGTTAAAATAAGTCATGTTTTATTTAAACAAGAAGATTACCGGATTTGATGGAGTCCCTGCCGATTCACTGCTACTGCTTCTTTCACAACGTAACTCCCTTATTACACACAGAGCAAGGCTTTCATCGAAGGAAAAGGAAATACTATCAGATTTGTGGCGCTTCCTCTGACATTCACCAGGTAATTCGTCTGAGTTTTCTTCTGGATATGTAAGGAAAAACAAGTTAATTAAACTGCTACACAGATTTACTTAGAAATTAAGCTGTCATGAGTATTTATTTGTACTAAAATTTAGCTCCAATAAAATTAAACTGCTGTTTCAAAAGTCAACACTCTTTCATTGGCTCTGTCCACGGTAATAGCAAAATATTATTTTTAAAAGCTTTTTAAGCTGCTTTCAGAACATTATCTTTATTAAGTCACGATTTAATCTTTCTACAGCTTGTATTAAACAAACAATCTAGAGTTGCTGTCTAAATCAACTCTTTAGATATAAAATTTTTTTCTCTGAAAAAAAGAAAAAGCAAAAAAATGTTTAATGTACTTAGAAGGTAAATCTGGAATTTACTTTGGCATAAGTTATAAATAGAAATTGATCTTTTTATCCTCAAATAACCAACCTTTTGTTCCAGCCCCATGTATTTAGTAAGACATCCTCTGCCCTTACTACCCTCCTCATGTACAAGATTCTAGTGTGGGTTTATCTCTTCTTTTTCACTGATTTTCCTTCACCTGATTCATAGTTTGTTAAAATGACATCTGATTAGACGACAGCTTCCTCCTCCACTATCTTTTCTCTGCAAAAATGTTTAGCTACTTTTTTTATCTCGTCTTTATTTCTAAGATGCTATTTATCATTTTAAAACTCACTGATGTTTTGTCACCTTAGGAACAATTAAATATGTTAACTGCTAAGGTGACCAAGAATAAGTAAAACGGAGTGTATATCCTTGTCCTCTATTATCCTGAATAGACAGCTGGCTAACTATAAATTCCGGGGGCCCAGTAAACCATACCTGCTATAGTCAGTCAACCAGAAAAATGTTTCTAAGAAAGCGATTTTTAAACCGAATAAATCACATAAAAATGAAAATTTAAATGAATGAAAATTCATTCATCTAAACCAAAAAAGCACAACAATTTCATTGAGCATAAATGTACTAATTTCATTAGAAAATGAACACTTTTTAAAAAGCGATTTGAAAACAATTAACCATTCATGTCTACCTGTCTCACTGACTGCTCTCCTTCTAGATGAGGTAGATGGTCTAGAAACCAAATCTGAGGATGAAGGTTTCTCTTCCTGCAGCTCTTCCACAGAGTCCTATGCATTAAAGGGAAAAAGACCCACAACTTAAGTGGTAACACCACAAAGTTAATTTCCAATGTTAATAAGCTTCCCAATTTTCAAGAATCATACTGGAGTAAGTTAACTTCAAGATTACCTTTTGGTCACTCCCACCTTCAAGGTGACACCTAGTTTCACTCCCAGAAGTGCCTGAATCTGATGGTTCTGATAGAAAATAAAAACAGAAAAGCACAAACTAAGAAAGTTACATAGATAGTCCAGGACAAACTGCTTACACAATTTAACCTTGCAACAAACATTAAACTTGTCTCCCAGGTGCCATCCCTATGCTAGATGCTGGAGATGTAAAGAAGAATTCAGTTTTCATAATGTATAAGAATAATAAGGTACAATGAACACAATACAAGTGTAAGATAAATCAGTGGCAAAGAACAGCAATGATTATTTGGCAGGGACAGAGCAGTGTCTGAGGAACAAGGAATCAGGGAAGTTTTCATTTCAGATGTAGAAGTAGGATCAGGAAAGGCAATTCCAGACTGAGGGAACAGTGTGTTAAAAAACATTCCACAAGTGAACTACCAGTGCTGCTGCAGGAAACTGCAGGTAGCGTGTAACAGCTGGAACACGAGTGGGATCACGGAGGATCCTGTATCTTACTGAACAGCAAGAGGATGCAAACAGCCAGAAGCACTCTGGCAGGCAATGCCGCTTCAACACGTTCTCTCCAACCGCCCCTTCAGAATCTTCCCTATGGCACTGCTACACCCACTCTCCATTAAAAAGGGTTAATCCAAGAGATAAGACTGACTTGCCAGTGTACAAGCAAGTTATTTTATCCAGAAAGCAATAAGGAACTCCTCACTAAATGGTACTTTAGGCACAGGAATGATAAATCGCTCAGGCAAAATAGAAGGAAAAAAAAGCAGAGGTAGGAAAACCAGTATTAGACAGTTAACTGCAATAATACAAATGAAAAGGTATTAAAATCCAAACTAAGGCATGGAAAAAGATCAATTTCGGAGAAATTTAAAACTTACCTGAACAAATTGGTAAACAAAACTCTATTATAAAAATTTTTTAAAAACAACAACTAAAAATACCCACCCTTTCAAATGGTCCTACCTTTCAAATACTCAAGCCTTTCAGTACATTTCAGGTTTGAGTGCATCTCTATTAAGCAGGAGCTTTTAAAATGATCTACCTTTCAAAACAAATTCTAACTCTAATATCCCAAGGTTTAAACTGATATAATAGGACATTCAACCTTACATATTGTAAATCTGCATTAGAACCCTGGCATTATGTTTAGTTCATATGTATTTCTTCCTGCTAAATGTCTATTCTTTTATTCAAAGTAAACATATAATTAAAGCAACTTTTAAAGAGAATCAATTATAAAATGAATGGATATGCACAAAATGTCTTTAAAATATTTTTATGGTATATGTTTATAGTATTCAAAAATTCACTTACCCTGCTTATTGACTACTACCAAGTTTCTGTAGATCATTGTATATATTTTCCTTGAAGGGGGAAAAAATAAGAAATGTACATTTTAAAATAAAAATGTATTAAACTGGACTTAACCAGACTTTTAAATCATTATTACGAATTAGTGCACATAAATCAAAAATTTTTTCAAATCAAATTTGGTATCACTGCATTCAAATTACATCAAGCTTCTAAATCTTAAAAAAGCACCCTAATTAGTTGCAGAATGATTACATACAGCTACCTTTTACAATCCCTAAGGTTTCTCTAGCTGAAAGATTTTATGTATCTTTCCTGAAATGTGGTTTGTTTGTACTTTACCAAACAACCCCAGAGAATGGGTATCAATGCAAAAGGCGAGTTACTATATGTACTTATGTTCAAACATATATTTTCCGCTCTGTGCTTATTAAGTTGACTACCTAAGAAAGTAGTGTTCTAGAACACCCACTATAGGAATTTGATTATCATTTTGACTTTCATTGACCTTAGACGAGTAATGTAATGGATTTTCTTTCTTGATCTTAAAATTTATTGAAGATACAGCAGTATTCACTCATTTCATAAATACAGACTGAGAACCAATTACATACCAATAACTGTTCTAGAAACTGGGGGAAAAGAATATAAAACAACCAAATCTCTGCTCTCATGAAACTTACATCATAATTGGAAGACAATTCACTTATTCCAGCATTCACTGATATCATAGTTTGTTGTTGTTTTTTTTTAAGAAACGTGGAGTAACCATGTTAACATTAGAGAAACCACATTTTTTAAAAGATTTTTTGGGGGGACAGTGACCAGAGGGGAGAGGGAAGGGAATTTAAGGGGAAAAAGGGGGAGGGATTTGGAGGAACAAATAGGAAGGACACAGGGACAAGAACTAAGGGGGGTGGAAATGGGAGGGAGGTGGGGAGCATGGGGTGGGGTGGGCTGGGATAGGAGACATAGACAAAAAACTGTACTTGAAAAATAACTAAATAAAAAAATTTTTTTTAATTAAAAAAAAATTTATCTTTAGAGGGGAAGGAGAGAGGGAGAAAAACATCAATGTATGGTTGCCTCTCCTGCGTCCCCTGCTGGGAACTGGCCTGCAACCCAGGCATGTGCACTGACTGCGAATCAAACTGCGATCCTCTGGTTCACAGACCTGCGCTAAATCCACTGAGCTATACCGGCCAGGGCATATGTTTTTTTTAACTAAGGATTTTAGAGAATGTTTACTGGTCATAAGATATAATTTTTAATTCTCAAGGTTAAGGAGGAAGTGACAAACCCAACTACTTTTTACCCTCGGGATTGATGATATAGTTCCTTAAACTCACAAAAATCAATAATCCTATTGATATGCTTTTTCTAAATCAGTAATTTCTACGTGTGTAACCTCTCAGCATATGAGAATTCAAGTCAAAGATAATTTTAAGCCCTGGCTGTTGTGGCTCAGTGGATTGAGGGCTGCAAACCCTTTGGTTCTCAGCCTAGACCCAGCACATGCCTGGGTTGTGGGCCAGGTCCCCAGTAGTGGCACTGGAGAGGTAACCATACATTGTTTCTCTCCTGTCTTTCTCCCTCCCTTCCCTTCTGTCTAAAAACAAATAAAATCTTTAAAAAGTAAAGATAATTTTAATATCATAAATTACATCTCAAAAGATTATCAGAAGATTCAATACTCAAATGATGCAAAATCACTAATAGTTACTTCTTTTTTTTAGTTTTTATTTATTGATTTTAATGAGAGAGGACAAGGGGGGTGGGAGAAAGGGGGAGAGGGAAGGGGAGGAGGGAAGGGGGAGGAGGGAAGGGGGAGGAGGAGGGAATGGGAGGAGGGAAGGGGGAGGAGGGAAGGGGAGGAGGGAAGGGGGGGGGGAGGAGGGAAGGGGAGGAGGGAAGGGGGGGGAGGGGGGGGAAGGGGAGGAGGGAAGGGGAGGGGAAGGGAGGAGGAAGGGGAGGAGGGAGGGGGAGGAGGGAAGGGGGAGGAGGGAAGGGGAGGAGGGAAGGGGGAGGAGGGAAGGGGAGGAGGAAGGGGGAGGAGGGAAGGGGGAGGGGGAGGGAGGGGGAGGAGGGAAGGGGGAGGAGGAAGGGGGAGGAGGAAGGGGAGGAGGGAAGGGGAGGAGGGAAGGGGAGGAGGAAGGGGGAGGAGGGAAGGGGAGGAGGAAGGGGGAGGAGGGAAAGGGAGGAGGGAAGGGGAGGAGGGAAGGGGGAGGAGGGAAGGGGGAGGAGGGAAGAGGAGGAAAAAGGAAGAGAGAGATGGGGAGAGGGAGAGAGAAACATCGATTTCTTATTCCACTTATTTATTTAAGTATTCATTGGTTGATCCTTGTATGTACCCTGACAGGGGATCAAACCCACAACCTTAGCGTACCAAGACAATGCTCTAACCACGCTGCACAGCCAGGGCTAGTTACTACTTAAATTTATACAACTAAAGCTTATTGGGCTTTACAATTAAAGCCCAATGATAATATGAATAAATATTAAATAGAAGTGGTTTGTCAATGAAAACATGTTCATATGTTAAATTAAGTAGCAGGATGAGTCCTGGCCAGTGTGGCACATTGGTTGAATCATCGTCCCATAACCAAAAGGTTGGGGTTTGATTCTGAGTCAGGGCACATGCCTAGACTGCTGGTTTGATCTCTGCTCTGGGTGTAGCCAATCGATGTTTATTCTTTCTTACATTGATGTTTCTCTCTCTCCCTTCCTCTCACTAAAAGCAATGAAAAAATGTCCTCAGGTGAGGATTAAAAAAAATTTTTAATAAAGGTTTAAAAAAAACAAGATGAAATTAAATATATTATGTTCACAACTAGGTAAAACATACATCTGCACATAATATAAAAATGACAGGTAAAAAAATGCCTTTCAGTGACAAACTATAGTCATTTATCCTTGTTCTTAGCTTTCTTACCGTGTTTTCTTGATGTTTAATAATAAATTATATTATGCTCATGTTAATGAAGTTGATTTAAAGTTATAGATGTCCCATTTAATTACTGCCCTATTATCTTTATTATTATTGAGCATTGAATACCAGTAGAATCTATTGAATTCTTTCAGGTGAGAAGTATTCACCCTGTTTATTAAGATATACATGCTAAGGCCCCATATGGACTACAATAACAGGATTTCAAATGTGAGGTATGAATGACCCAAAAGTCTTCAGTTCACAGAATAATCCTACAAAAGTCTCCAGTTCTCAGTAGAATAATTCTGAAAATGTTACGTGTACTAAATCCAGGTGATTAAGTACCATAATGGTATACAAGAAAAGGATTTCCAAAGCAGCTAAAGCTCAAATCTAAGCCTTTATCGCAGGGTTGAATAAAGATTTTTGGAAGTGACTGCAGTATTTTTTTAATATTCAGTAACTATAACTAATATTTGAATATTTTCTATATGCCAAACACTATGCTTTTTACACAAGGTCTTTTCATTGCCTCCACATGAAGTATTTATATTATTCCTACTGCACAAATGGGGGAAACTAAGGTTAAGAGAGAATTAAGTCAATTAACATAATCACACAGCTACTAAATGAGTAGCTGAGCTAGATCTGAAACCCAGGTTTTTAAAATTTTAGAGCTAGGTCCTCAAACAACAATCTATATTGCTAAGAAATTTAGCATCTTTTATATATGTTATAACCATTTTTTTTCTGACCAAAGGGAACGAGAGTGGAGGTGAACTGAAACATTTGCCCAGCAGGCGTTTTACAATGGACTGAAGAATTTACCTGTGTTCTTTCACAGAGAAACTTGGCACTCCAAACAAATCCCCTAGAAGATCATTTGAACAATACACAATATGCTGTTGCTTCTCATCATATAATCTTTTGTTCATTATATACTGGCCAAGATAAAATATAACCTGAAATAGAAATATGATTTCTGAGCATTAAATAAAATTAAATGTTAGTTTCAAACCCATTCAATAACATTGATCTGCAGAGGGTTAAACAGCCAGCACCCACATTCACAACCATTTAGAATAACAACCCTTAAAAAAAAACTTCTTTTAAACCTTTTCCTTTTAATTTGATAGAAGCAGGGACACTGCTTCTGATTTAGTTAAAATGTATTTTTTTTTCAGAATTTCACTCTGCCCAGATATCTACATACTACACATTAGGAAAGAAAAAGGCAGCAAAATGCTGTAAGACATTAATTATTTCATTAACTCTTAATTCAGCTTACCTCTTTCATAGTGTAAGTATCTTTTTGTGCACCAACAGATCTTAACAACTTCATAAGCAATGGCTTTGGTCTAACCTATAAAAAACAGAATTGCTATTATACTTCCAAAATTATTACAAAACTTTAAGACCCATTGCAAACATGTCCATGATTTTTTTAAGGTTTTAAAATTTTTATTTTTTATTGTTGTTCAAGTACGGTTGTCTCCATTTTCACCCCACCTCAGCCCCCTGCCCCACCCATCCTCAACTCCCATTATAATTTCAATAAAGGAAGCACATTACATTTAACAATCTCATGAGGTTATACTTCAAAAAATAAGTTATAATGTGTTCACTAAATGTAACAGACTATATAAACTGAACACCACAGACTGTCTAGGAAGTTTGAAAAAAATGCTGGGACCTAATTATTATGCAAATAGTCAGACTTCTCAAATACTGCTACCCATTGCCATAAAAAAACTGGTATCCACGCCATTGCAGAGAAAACTATTTTTTCTTCCAGTTATTTCTGTTATTTGCTTACTACCTTACAAACTCACATGTAACCAGAATACTCCAAATGATCAAACAAAAAAACTGACCCATAGATACAGAAAAACTGGTAACTGCCAGAGGGCTGGGCGGTGAGGGTATGGGCAAAAAGGTTAAGGGGATTAAGAGGTACAAACTTGTAAGTCATAGGGATGTAAAGTACAACACAGGGAATACTAATAATATCAATATCATGATAATTTTGTACGGTAACAGATGACAGTGGACTTTTTGTGGTGATCACTTTGTAAGGTATATAAATGTGAAATCTATGTTCTACACCTGAAACTAATACAGTACTGTATGTCAACTGTACTTTCATCCAGAAGAGCTTTACATTTCAGAATAAAACATTAGACATAAAACCAAAAAGTTAAAAAAAAATATTCCAAAGAGCTTACTGTAAACTAAATGACAAAATCCAGAAAAATAAGTAAATCTCTAGTGTGGGGATTTTTACCAATCTTTTCCTTCTACTTATTAGGATCCTGAAGAATGAAGAATTTAAATAACCAAACCAAGGTGGCAAGATAATTAAGAGCAGATATGAGACTACAATTTATGTTCCTCAATTATAAGCCACCATTTTCTTACTATATCATGCTCTTAGTTGGTCTCCATTTCAATTATCTATTTGACATTTATTGACCTACCATGCACCACACAATGATAGGTATTGCTTTAAAAAAAAAAAAAAAAAAAAAAACCAGCCCTCGCTGGTGTGTCTCAGGGGATTGAATGCCAGCCTGTGAACCAAAGGTCACCAGTTCGATTCCAAGTCGGGGCACATGCCTGCGTGGTGGGCCAGGTTTCCAGTAGGGGGTGCTTGAGAGTCAACCACACATTGGGTTGTGGACCAGGTCCCCAGTAGAGGGCGCGCGCGAGACAACCACACATTGATGTTTCTCTCTTTCTCCTTCCCTTCCGCTCTCTCTAAAACTAAATCTTTAAAAAAAATTTTAAATAAATAAACAATTTTGTAATTTTATTTAACATAGATGTAGCCTTAGTTTAGCTCTACTAGGACAATAATATTAAGATTCACATGTGTGTGTATATGTGTATATGTATGTGTGTGTGTATATAAATAGAGTCCTCATATTTTTAGGACTATAAGACACACCAGACCACAAGATGCACCTAGGTTTTAAAGGAGGAAAATAGGGAAAAATTTTTTGAAGCAAAAAATGTGGTAAAATATTTAATAACCTGTGACCCTGCTCCATTGCTGCCCCACTCCCCACAGAGAGCCAGGTAAACTACATTCGGACTATGAGACACCCTCCCACTTTCCTCCCAAATTTGGGTGGAAAGTGCATCTTACAGTCTGAAAAATACAGGGTGTGTGTATATGTGTGTGTGTTTTGTGTGTGTGTGTGTGTGTATATATATATATATATATTCTAAATATCTAACATAGTCAAAAGACTAGAACTTTCCATTTTTTACTATCTACATTTCCGTAAGCATGTAAACTCTACAAGCATGAGTTACTTTTGTGACTTAGGAACCATTTTAAAAGTTAAATACTAACAAGTCAAAACACAAAAAAAACTCTATCACGTAATAAACTTCAGCATGTAATGGAACTCACTCTGAAACCCACTGTCATAAAGGGCTAAGAAAAGACCGTTTCTGATAGTTAACTCTGCCTCCACAGTTATACCTGAGTAGCAGAATTTAAGCTTTGTACATTCAAGTTCACTTAAACAGCCATACTATGATGAGGGCAGGGGGATGAGATGTCTACGGAATTTAGTTGATCACCTCATAAAGTAAATTCTTCTAAAAAGTTACACTTTGAGACGAAATACGAACCAGGGTCTCTTGTTCCGAAGCTGGAATCTGTGAGGTACTTACAGCACCATCAGTAGACACAGACATACTGGTATTACACATCTGTCTAAGAATAAAGACAAAAATAAAACATGATAAAAACCTAAAAATAATGTCTTAATAAAACATGATAAAAACCGAAAAACAATACCTTTAAATAATAACGCGTTTCCTAAAACTAAAGCCATTATTAGCAAATGAGTCCTTACCTGGATCACTACAGAATGAGTGCTGTCCGCCTGTGACCACAGTGAACACAGCTGGCAATAGTCACAGTTTAAATACCCCAGCTGGAGACAAGTCAGGGCTTAGCTCCTTTTTTGCACACTCAGAACGTGTCCGAACTTGACCAGCCCAAGAGGAAAAGCTGAGTCAACCTGCCCAGAACACCAGCCCAATCTCGCCCAGACTCGATGCCCGCCTCAGACTGGTTACAGAACAGGCACCTGTCATTATTCCAAACCCCGGCTTGGAGGCAGCTGGGGGCTCCCCAGCTGGGGGCTCTGCAGCATCCCCGCCCACGTGACCTTTCCGGACAGGCCCGCCGTGCCCCTGCACAGCCCCTCCCTCGTGCCCCCCCCACCCCCGGGAGCGCGGCCGTAACCCTGGCGACAAGCTGGCCTCTTTCCAACAAAACCTCCACAAAACCTAGTGTTCCGTACCTCCCACCACGAAATGACAAAGACTGCGAGCAGGCAGAAGGCTGGAACCGACAGAGAGCTGGGAGACCCAAGTCACAGCGCCAACCCAGAACTGCCTACGCGCTTCCCCGCCCATACCTACTCCTCACCGAGCAGGGTTTTCAGCGCCTTGGGGGTGGCGGTCCCCCAAGGCTGCCTAGTTCCTTTCACGGGTGCGTGGCAGCCCTCCACCCTAGGTTTCGGCGACTATTCTACTCGTGGGCCCAGGCCACCGGGGCCCTTGAACTTACTATGTCCGGAGAAGGCGGCTCCTGACTTAGCAAGCAGCAGCACCTAGATCAGAGGCTTAAGAGCTGCCCCTCAAGCTTGGCTTCTTGCTCCATTTTCCTTTTAGAAATACAGGCCCGCACATGCCCCAAGAGGAACCGAGCAGGGCGAGGTAGACCCAAATAGCGACCCCTACCGCCGGAGAGGACCGCGCCGGAAGTGGCGGCCCGTTGGGCTTGTGTGTGTGTGAGTGTGTGTGTGTGTGTGTGTGCGCGCGCGCGCGCGCGTCCGGGTCCTACCGCAGCTCACACCAACTGGGGGAAGGGGCTGGGCTCTGCCACCTCCCCGAAGGGGGCAGTTTGGGATCTTGGTGAGCCCCGCCAGGTGGGGCCGGGTTGCTCGGCGCTCACCACCCGCCAGCCCTATCCACAGCGTCCCTCTGGAGACTTGGCCCTGCCCACGGCTGCCGGTTTGGCGCGGAAAGCTAGGGACTTCTGTTTCCGTTGAGCTATTTTTTGTATTTCTTTTGTTTACAACCTCAGTGGAGTCTACAGGCAAATGCATATCGAAGCGCCGCTACCAAAAAAAGAAAACAAAATTAACAGCTGTGAGATATATTAAGCCCATGCCTCCAGCCACTGGAGTTGTACATAAATGAGTTCTTTCAAGACTTGCTTTTTTTTTTTTAAGTACGAGTAAAAATAGAACAGTACAGGCTTGTGTGCGGATGCATGCTAATGTTCTAGGTACAGAAGTAAGACTGGTGGGATAAAGAAGAGAGGTTACTTTTCACTTTACACTTCTAGAATGTTTGGCTTGGTTCATGTATGCATTCATTCTCATTAAAAATATATATGTATTAGGCACCCCATACTCACTTATTTGCCCCCTTTAGCAGATAGACATGGCAATCTCAAAAATGAACAAGGACATAAGAAATGAGTTGGTTCAACCCACAAAGGACAGGCATTGGCAAAGACCATCTTCTTCGACCAGAAAAAATTAGTTCCTTATGAACAAGGACCGTTTTTACATCTTTCCCTTCTTCTATACTCTAGCCTACTAGAAGAGAGTATTCCTTAAACATATCGGCCACAACTGACATTATTCAAGGATAATTTGGTTTGGCTTTTAAAAAGTAACAAAAATAAAGAAACAAAACAAAATACAAATTGGTGATCCCCAGATTGGGGGCAGAGAGCTGAAGATGGTGAAAAGGATTAAGAAATACAAATTACCAGTGATAAAAATAGTCACAGGGATATGAAGTGCAGCACAGGGAATATAGTCAATAATGTCATAATTATAATTTTGTATGGTATCAGGTGAGTATTAAACTTAGGTGATCACTTTGTAAGTTATAAATTTCTAATCACTATGCTGTACCCCTAAAACTAATATAATATTGTATGTCAACTGTAATTGAAAAATAAAAGTTATTAAAAAACTTTTTTATTAAAAAATTAGTCCTGGCTGATGTGGTTCCGTGGATTGAGTGCCAGCCTGTGAATTGAAAAGTCGCTGGTTGGACTCCCAGTCAGAGCACATGCCTGGGTTGCAGGCCAGGTCCCCAGTTGGGGGCCTGCAGGAGACAACTGATCCATGTTCCTCTCCTACATAATGGTTCTTTCCTTCTCTTTTTCCCTCCCTTACCCTGTCTCTGAAAGTAAATAAATAAAATATTTTTTAAAAAATTAGCCCTGGCTGGCATAGCTCAGCGGATTGAGCATGGGCCTGCGATCCACACGCTCGAGGTTCGATTCCCAGTCAGGGCACATGCCTGGGTTGCAAACCAGTTCCCGGCAGGGGACTCATGAGGGGCAACCACACATTGATGCTTCTCTCCTTCTTTCCTTCCCTTCCTCTCTAAAAATAAATAAAAATAAAATCTAAAAAATAAAAAAATAAATTAAATGAGAAACTCTTGCCATTATCACGACGACTGTAATGAAGTTTCTGATTATGAGAGCACGTGCTTAGCACAGGATAAAAGAAAATCACAAGAGATGAAGAAAAACAAGCACAACAATGTAAATTACACAAGCCGTCATTTGTTAATGCCAAGTAAAGGAACAGGTATGTGCTGTAAGAGTTCAAAGACAGGATTGCTCAGCGAATACCCAGGTAATTCAGGAGAGCCTCAGAGGACCAGAGCATTTTGTGTCTTAAAGGATGGTTAAGACTTAAAACAGAAGAGAATATTCCAGGCATAAGAAAAGTATTATCAAAAAGTCCAGAAGTGAAATGTAAAGAATTGTTTGTGAAATAATAAATCAGTTTGACTTGAAAAAAATAAAGAAAAAAAGTTCTGGCCCTGGCCAGGGGCTGAGTTGGTTATAGCATTGTCCCTCTATGCCAAGGTTGTATGTTCTGTTTCTGGTCAGGCCACAAACAAGAATCAACCAATAAATGCATAAATAAGTGAAACAACAAATCCTTCTCTCTCTCTCTCTCAAAATAAAAAAGAAAAAAAACTTTTTAAGATCTTGGAGGCTCCTTTAAATCTGAAGCAAGGGAACTGAGGTTCGGACAGAGGAGGTAGTAGACAGATTGGGAGGATATAAACAAGTGAATTGCTTCGAGTTGTGTTTTTTAACAGGACCATCAGAAACAGATTCAAGTTCTGAATATTTGTCCAGGCCCCTCTGGACCAACTTTCCCCCTTTTCATTAGCCCAGTGTTTTAAAAATACTCTGTTCACAGACACAATTCTATAGGGCAGAAATGAAGGGCAGAATTGATAGCATTAGTCCTTTTCTAGTGGAAGTGTTATCACTGGTATTTAACTAATTGTTAATTTAAAAAGGAGAGCAAAGGGACTTAGACATTGAACTTAATAAACTGGGGAGCATAAACCTGTTTACTCCAACAGGAAGCTACAGCTTCAGGAGATTAACACTCCTCTCTTCCCCACTCCAGTACCAGATTGTTGGGGAGCACAGGGAATACTTCTGGACCATACAGGCCTGCCAGTCTAACTAGGGGGTGTAAGTCCATCCAAAGCCCCCAAAAGCTTGGGAAATTGACTGATTGTCTTGAAAAAGCTTCTGGTGTTTTCCAAGCCAGAGATATATAGTCCCGGAGGAACAAAGAAGCACGTGCTGTCTCTCAGGAACCTACACTCGACTCATGTTATCTCCCCAAGGACATGTGGCCTTAGCAGCTGATGGCCAGCAGCCACACAGACTCTGCTACTGGAGCAGTCGCGAACAAGCTAAGCCACCTGAATGGCAACTGAGACTGCTTAGCAGCGACCTGCAGGCTCCAAAAGGACTGAATTCTCTCTCCTTCTCGCCCAAAGATCCACACTCACACAGCGCGCTCGCCTGCTTTATATTGGCCCTACTGACAACAAGATCGAACATTTTCCTTGGAGAGACAGATGGAAATGGGACACTGGGGAGTCAGGAGGGGATCCTCCTTAATTTTACATCATCAATAAAGTTTACCATGGAGCTCCATCCTCCCATGCGGGTCTCCGGAAATTCTTTTCCTCTCAATAAATACCACAAGAACTTCTCTGCCACGGATAACAGAACCATAAATGAAGGAAGAAATGACTGTATTCAGAGTGTTGGGGAGAGGGAGAGAGAGAGAGAGAGAGAGAGAGATGGATGAGGCAAGGATTCTATCTTTGAAGGAATTGGTGTTGACAAGGAGAAAATTCTGAGGTGTCCTTAATTAAATCACAGCAGGCCAGAGGGCGGAGGGAGCAGACTAAAAGGGGTTAATCATTAACGACGGTGGCATAAAAACCAACAGAAGATTGCTCACACTCCTTAATACATGTGTGAATTATTAAATTACCCTCCAGGGGGCTATTTCTGAGATTATCTTAAAAGCAAGACTAGCCAGGTGCCATAGAACCCCAGGGGCCTCTGCTTCTTGTTAAACAGGAGTTTTACAGACTCTGCTGCCCCAGTCCCAGAACTGCCCCAATTCACCTTCCTCCATCTCTGCTTAGAGTTAATGTAAATTCTTTTAGAAAGGCTTTCTCCTGGCTATTGGATGTGTAAAAAAACTTGCAAAACTCCTCTGGGATGAGACATGTCTTTTCTACCTGGCCAGGCTGCTGGTGGTTAGGGCTCTAAGCACCAAAACCAGTCTTCTTTTTTTGCTAGCAATGGCCTAGTAAAAAACAAAACCAAACGAACAAGAAAACCCTTTCCTAAAACAAACAAAATTAATGTAGAAGTTAAAATATTTTTAACAGAACTGAAAATTTTATTAAACATTATCACCCCAATAAATTCAATTTTTTAAAAAGAAAGACGATCTGCCTTGTGTATCAAGCACTACCCTAGGTCCCAAGAGGTGAACAAGACACTATCCTCTTGTCGGTCAGAGAACCTAGCAGGATGACACCTTTTTCTTTTTTTAAGTTCTCACCCAAGGATATGTTTTTTGATTTTAGAGACAGAAGAAGGGAGAAAGAGAGAAAGCAACATCAATCGGTTGCCTGCCATATGTGCCCCAACCTGGGATTGAACCCACAATCCTTTGGTGTACAGGATGACACTCCAACCAACTGAGCCA